TGTATGTATGTATGTATGTTTGTGTGTTTGTGTGTATGTATGTATGTGTGTGTGTGTGTGTGTGTGTGTGTGTGTGTGTTCACATTGAGCGAGTACAAGCACTCTTAGATGTACGTGGATTCAAAATTTCCCAAATTCACATCACAGCTCCCTGTTTTGATTTGTGGAATTCAATACTGTCACGGCCAGCTTTTCGTAAAGAAAAAATCCTTAGCTTACGTATGCCTTGTGGGTTTTCTACCTCTCTGTCTGTCGCTGTGTATTCGTCAGACGTTCATTGCCTGTTTGTTTGTCAGTCAGGAATTTTTCACGTTGTTTACTTCATAATATACTGCTATTATCATATTCTTCTTTCCTGCCTCAGGATTGCGTATTATTAAGCTCTCCTTACTTTCCTCTCCTTCGTAACAAAAGCCTGGGTAACGACTAACAAATAACTCGCAAAAGATATTATCATCTTTTAGAGTACCGGACCTCCAAATTCCTTAAAGTTTTAAAACTCACCTCTCCACCTCAGTTCGCAAATATTTCTCCCAAAATATCTTCTAAAAAATCAGGTTTATAGTTCTCCTAAAATGTCCTCTGAAAAGTCAAGTCTGCACCTCCGTGTCATCACACTAATGGTACGTAAAACTGTTTGCTAGATTCCTAATTTTGTGTCAATGTTCACCGCCATAGCTCAAATTGGCTCTTTTGTTTCATTTTCCTTTCCCACCGGAAGTGACACTGAAGTCAGGCATTGTGTGACGTGAGATCTTCCGTTTACGCTCAACCCAGAGCGTATTTTGTCCCACTAATTCAAGGAAGACCTTTTTGTTTGGTCAGAAGGGTGTAATTTTTGTTATAAAAAATGGGGCTAGTCTCACTCTTTTTGACATTTTTCAGTGAGTCGAGACTAAACTTTCGATCTTCTTGTTCTCTTTCTGTGAGTGGGGCGATATGCTTTCTTTTTTCTTTTTTCTTTTTTTTTGTGGCGGGGGAGGGGGGTAGAAGGGAAGGATAGGATGGGTGTATGAAATTTGAGGTTGAAATTAGGGAGTAAAAACAACTCCTAAAAGTCGTATGTTTCTCCCCTCATTTTTCGAGGTACCGGTATGTTTAGTTTTAGATATGGGTGCGTTAGCATTTTCAGCATAAAAAGAGTACCTAAATTTCGAGATAAAAGTAAGTATTATCCCTTGAAATTCTAAGAATAGAATTAAGATCTGACATAATGCGCAGACACAGTACAGTACAGGCAAGCACTGGTCTACAACGTGCAAGAATACGAGTATAAACAATACAGCAGCATATTATAACCAGTTAATGGGCCGATTTTTAAAGGGTTCATACACTATTTGCTTTGTGAGTGTTACGAGATGTGCGCGCCAAGTGTGAGCGTAACTTTATAATAATTTCTCATTCCTTCTCTCTCTCTCTATCTCTCTCTCTCTCTCTC